AGAAGACGAAACGGAGTGAATCGTGTGGTCTCTTGCGTAGCGGTATTATACGCGAATGTTACGTAAGGCAGTATTTCATCCCACGTCTTGTGCTGTACGTCTATGTACATAGACAGCATATCAGTCATCGTTTTGTTAAGCCGCTCGGTCAGTCCATTTGTCTGAGGGTGATACGCTGTTGTCTTGCGATGCGTGGAGTAACTTAACTGAAAAACTTGTTCAAGGAGCCTTGCTGTAAACGCTGTTCCTCGGTCTGTGATGACACAGGATGGAGCACCGTGGCGTAATACAATTCTCTCGATGAAAAACTGAGCAACTTCACAAGCCGTGCTTTTAGGAAGCGCCTTAGTTTCAGCATAGCGGGTTAGATAATCTGTAGCGACGATTATCCACTTGTTGCCGGAAGATGACAAGGGAAACGGACCCAGGAGGTCCATGCCGACTTGATCGAAGGGTGTTCTGGGTGGCTCGATAGGGTGAAGTAATCCCGCAGGCTTAACAGATGGGGATTTTCGGCGCTGGCATTCGCGGCAGGCTTGAACGTACTGTTTAACGCAAGCGGCAAGTTTCGGCCAGTAGTAAGACTTTCGTACCCTAGCGATGGTTCGGGTGATGCCCAGATGGCCCGATGGAGGCTCGTTGTGGCAGGCAAATAGAATTTCCTCACGCAGCTCTGCGGGGACGACCAACAGGTAAGTTTTGTTGCTGGCGGCTGCGTTCTTCTTGTACAACACGCCCTGTCGTAAGCAGAAGGATGACAATCCGCGAGTTATATGCTGGGGCAGTGATACGTTGCGGCCCTCTAGATGTTCAATGATAGGTCGCAATTGAGCATCTGCTCGCTGCCGTAAAGCCAAGTCTGTTACGCTTACGGAGCCAAGGAAAGGGCAGTCCTCTTCGAAGCTCTGAGCGGCAGGCTCAACTGGCGCGCGTGACAACGTGTCCGCATCTTCGTGTGCACGACCGGACTTGTACACGATAGTGACGTCGTACTCCTGCAGACGTAGGCTCCACCTTGCCAGTCGTCCGGAGGGGTCTCTGAGGTTCGCAAGCCAGCACAGCGAGTGATGATCCGTCACTACTCTGAATGGACGGCCGTAAAGGTAAGGTCGAAACTTAGCAATTGCCCACACGACAGCAAGGCACTCCTTCTCCGTGGTACTGTAGTTTGACTCCGGGCGTGTTAGGGTTCGGCTTGCGTAGGCGATAACCTTTTCAATTCCCTCCTGCCGTTGGACGAGTACCGCGCCCAGACCGACGTTACTGGCGTCGGTATGAATTTCTGTTTCGGCTTCCTCGTCGAAATGTCCAAGAACAGGTGGTGATGCCAGGCGAAGCCGAAGCTCTGTGAATGCTGATTCTTGTTCAGCACTCCAAACGAACGGCGTATCGTCTCTAGTGAGTCTAGTTAATGGTTCGGCAATTTTCGAAAAATTGCCTATAAAGCGCCGGTAGTACGCGCATAGACCAAGAAACCGCCGCACACTTTTCTTATCGGCAGGAGTCGGGAAGGCTGCGACAGCGGCGGTTTTCTCAGGGTCAGGACGGACGCCTTCTGCGCTTACGACATGTCCAAGGAACTTTAGTTCTTCGTAACCGAAATGGCATTTTTGCGGCTTTAACGTAAGGTTAGCCGTCCGAATCGCCTCAAGTACTTGTCGTAGTCGCTTCAGATGTTCGGAGAAGCTGGTTGAAAACACGACCACATCATCCAAGTACACAAGGCAGCTTTGCCATTTTAAGTCAGTCAACACAGTGTCCATCATGCGTTGGAAGGTAGCTGGCGCAGAGCAGAGTCCGAACGGTAGCACCCGAAATTCGTAGAGGCCATCCGGCGTGACAAAGGCGGTTTTTTCGCGGTCGCGCTCATCAACCTCAATTTGCCAGTAGCCACTCTTTAAATCCAGGGAAGAAAAATACTTCGCTCGTCGTAGTCGGTCAAGCGAGTCATCAATACGCGGCAGCGGATAAACATCTTTTTTTGTGACGTTGTTGAGCTTTCTGTAATCTACACAGAAGCGAAGCGTACCGTCCTTCTTCTTAACCAGAACGACCGGTGAGGACCAGGGACTGTTCGAAGGCTGGATAACGCCGTCGTCGATCATTTCTTTCACTTGCTGCTTGATAGCTGCGCGTTCTGTCGGCGAGACGCGGTATGGCTGTTGGTGAATAGGTCTTGCGTCGTCGTAAGTGATTATCCTGTGCTGTGTAATTGGCGTCTGACTCACTTTAGACGACTGAGCAAAGCACGCCCTGAATTCAAACAATAGCTCTCGCAAGGCCCTCTGGTTCTCTTCTGGCAGTGCACTGTTCATGTCAACATCTATTACGGTTTGTCCATTGCGGCTACTGTCTTCACAGGCAAAACACTCAATGACGTCCTCCAAGGCTTCAGCGTAGGCGACCGCAGTGCCCCGGAAAAGGTGACGATGCTCATTGGTGAAATTTGTAATCATGACCTCGGCTGTACCGTTCCGAATGTCAATGATGCCTCGTGCCACAGAAATTCCAAGCGCCAGCAGCAGGGAGACGTTGCACTCTGCCACTGTTTCACCGTCACTGGTTCCTTCGGAAGTCACCTGAATTAGGATACTTGCACGAGGTGGTATTGTGACACTGTCGTCGGAAACACGGAGGGCGGTTGTACGGCGGTTGGAGTCCCTTGACGTAGCGTTGACTGTCGAAAAGGAAATGCAGCGTCGCCGTAGGTCGATTACGGCGCCATATTCCCGAAGAAAATCGAGGCCGAGAATTAATTCGCGGGAGCAGTCACGTAGCACGATGGAGCTGACCAAAAACGTGCAGCCTCGTATTTGTAGCCTGGACGTGCACAAACCAACCGGCGTTACAACATGTCCGCCAGCTGTACGTACATGCGATCCTGTCCAAGGCATTATCACTTTCTTCAAGGTACGTGCCAATTGTCCGCTAATAATCGAGTAGTCAGCACCAGTGTCTATTAAGGCAGTTAAATTGCGACCGTCGAGCAGCACAGGTATGTCCATTGAAAAGTCGCTCAGCTGGGATACAGGCGCCGGCGTAGTCGAATTTCCGTTGGTCCGATGTCGCGTCGATTGGAGGGCGAGGTCTTCATCACGTCGAGAATCAGCGGCCTCGCCTCGAAAGGTCGCTGGCGTTAGTTTTCCAGGCGAGGGCTCGGAGACCGTCCTTGCGGCCTTCGATTTCCGTTGCCTGAATAAGATGACGACCGCGGTGACGGTGAGCGCGACTGACGCCTGAGTGGGACGTTCTGCCGAGCGATAAAATCTTCAATTTCTGGTGGTCTCTGTCCAAACCGGGGGCGGGGTGAATTGGCAGGAAAACCCTGCAGCCCAAGTCGGCGGTACTGGCAGTCTCGGTAGAGGTGACCCGCTTCACCGCAGTGGTAGCAAAGCGGTCGTCGGTCGGGCATGCGCCATATGTCGGATTTACGCATGACGGGTCGAGTGTCTGCAAAATAAGGGACCACCTGTGCGGACTGCAGTGTGGCGTACGGGGTTGCGGCTGGTAGTGGGACTGGTGCAGGTGCGTTGTGTTCGAACGTGTCGGTATAAGTGGTGCGCTGGAAACCACTCACTGGGGATGGTGTCGTGGACGACGGAACGGTGCGTCTCAATACGTCTGCGTAGGTCACCCCTAGAGGTTCACTTGAAGTTGCGAACGCCTGAAGTGGTGCAGCAACCTGCGTTGGTGTCTCGCGGCGAGGTGTGCCGAGCGCATGCTGAACTTCGTCACGTATGATGGTGGCGATGCAATTCGTGGAAGGCTGCTGCTGCGCCTGGTTCAGCTGTTGCAGCTGTTGTAGCTCGTCGCGAACAACCGAACGTATCAGCTCGCGAAGCGCTCCCACGTCGGTCGGGAACGAGCCTAGCCCGGTGGTATAGGTAGCATTCACTTGCCGATCGTACTGGTTCCGCTGCTGCAGCGCCTTTTCCATGGCGACGGCTTCAGTGAGGAACTCCGCGACCGTTCTAGGCGGACTACGAATGAGTCCAGCGAAGAGCTGCTCTTTCACACCTCGCATCAAATGTCGCAGCTTCTTGTCTTCCGGCATGGTTGGATCGGCGCGAGTGAACAGATGAACCATATCCTCCACGTATGTAGCCACACCTTCATTAGGCATCTGCATGCGGGACTGGAGGGCCCTTTCAGCGCGCTCTCGACGATCGAGACTCGAGTACGTTTCGCGGAGCCTGTGACAGAACTCATGCCACGACGTTAGGAGGCCCTTGCGGTTCTGGAACCATGTGCGAGCACCATCCAGAAGACTAAAGTACACATTCTTGAGCTTCGCTACTTCGTCCCACCCGTTGAAATCCGCTACGTACTCGTACTCAGCCAGCCAATCTTCCACATCTTCATAGAGGCCACCACGAAAGGGACTCGGAACACGTGGTTTTTGTAGCGTGTAATGAGTGGGTGCAGCTGCGGGTGCAGCGGTTGGAGCAGCGGCGGCTCCAGCGGTAGGGGAAGCGGTGACAGCAACAGTATTCTCCATACCAGTCGACGTACTTGTACTGTGAGGCACAAACTCGGGGGACAGTCCTCGAATCCTCCGACTGAAACGGTGTACCGGCGTAAGCTCTGGGTTTTGGGTCACGTTCCGGCTGCTAGAAGGAGTCTGTTGCATAGGTGAGGTTACCCAGCACCTCCACCATTAAAATGTCACGTTAAAGAGACAGGAGACGTTTTTAAGGCGTCCTCACAAAAGTCCGAAGAGCGGTCGGCTCAGCGCAGCCAAAAACAGAACAATGGCACGAGGGGAACTGCCACTTCGTCTGCCTCTTTTGCGCTGGCAGATCAAGCGCGCGGCAGTATTGATGCGTTGCGATTCTAGCTGCGTGTTGCTGTATGTGCGAGTTCCCACGCAGACGCGTGCACGCGCATGCGCAAAACTCACGCAAACACGCATGCACGCATACATGCATACACACACGCACTACTAGAGCACAAGAGGGATCCTTACTGCACACTATTGAACAAGTCACGTGCGTTCTCACCCTTGGCAGCCGCGAGCTCCGGGAATGCCCTGATCAGCACCTCCCGAGCGTAAGGACTTGTCCTCGGCGCGAAGGCAAGCCTGCGCCCCTTGTAGGGAACGTCGCAGGGGTCTCGGCGTGGTCCAGCTGCTCCGGCATCTAGTCGCACCCTCCTGGTTTCCGGGAGGGCAGCCGACGAGAACCAGAACAGAGACAGTAGAAAAACCGGTGCGCTCAGCTCTAGCATGCTGACCAACAGGTGCCGGCGGACGCGGTACACCACCAGGTCCCTCCATACCACCAGGGCCACTTGCACAACCTGTAACGGGTGTGCAAGACAAAACGAAACCCTCAGCAGCATTACTATCTTTTTCTACCCATTCCCACACGCACACTTGAGTGATAGATCTCTCGGACAGAAAGATTTCCCTACAGGTCAAGATTCATGACGTTCTTCACAGTGGTGCTGTTTTAACGGCGCTCGGCCGCTGAACCGTGGTCGCAGGTTCGATCTCAGTCACGGCGGTCGCACATCGGTGGAAACCAAAATGGCAGAGGCCCGTATATCATGCGATGTCAGGGCATTTTAAACACCGAATAGTCCATAGTAAAGTGAGTAAGCAAGGATCGAGAGGGACGTAGTTGGAGAAAAAGCGCTAGGTCCTTGCGTTTTCTTAAAGCTTTCGTTTTACGAAAACTTTAAGAAAACGCAAGGACCTAGCGGTGACGTAAAGCTTTTGTTTTACGTCACCGCCAAGTAGCGCTTCCTCGCTCTATCATACCCACGCTAACATATTCGTCCGTCAACGTATTTTAACCGGATGGTCACGAAATTTCCGGAGCCATTCTTTTAGGCGTGCCTCATGATGTTGTGGTTTTGGCACGTAAAAGCCAGACAAATTATGGGGGTGAAGCACCTGAGGATCCAGGCTTGTCAGTGTGTCATGTAGTCACAGTATGTCGCGTAGTCGCGGCAGGCCCTGAAAAGAAAGGGCTAGCCTCTCCCCCCCCATCCCGAATTCCGGATGAAGCGGGGTGTTTAGGCGATAATTAATAATGAAAATAGGTCAAGGCCTCCACTAAGTGCCTCCACCTCCAGTCACCCCGAAAAAAAATCTTGTCTACGGTCCGGAGCCATGTATTCATGTCGTATGTCTTGTCAAGGCTCATCATAAACGGCGAAAGAAGGGGCTGGGTCGTAGTGAAGAAGAACGTTACCACCAGTGCTGGTTTTGCGACGTCGCGTGTCGCAAACTCATACGACGAGGTTTTGGGGCGTCGGCGTTGTTATGCCTGCGAGTCCGCAGAGAACGTCCGTGCCTCTGAAAAAAGGCAATCTGTGTCAAGGCCAGCACGCGAGCCCGCCTGACGCGATCAACAACTCAACGGCGTCATCACAAAACGGCGCCTTTCTGGCGCGCACGGAGAGTGAGTCACCTCAGCAAGCGAGCCCGTCGAGTAAACAACCGGCGTCTTCCTGTATGGCGGGTCTGACGCAATGCCTTGCGACGTCACTCGTCCTTGGGTGCAGCCACCTGCAGCGCAGCCTCTCCAGATTCGATGAGAAAGAAGGACGCAGCCCAGCGGCGACCCCATTGGAGGAGTCTGGCCTCACGACCAGCGGCGCTTCTGGTTGGACATTTTGTTATTCAAAGAATCCACCCGGTGCATATAAAAGAAGCCCTGCGGCGCGTCGCGAGCAGCAGGCCTGTTGGAGAGCAGACATGTGTGTCGCAGTTGAGCTGTGGGTCGCAGTTGAGCTATGTGTTAGCAGACCCGTTGGAGAGCAGATTTGTTGGAGAGCAGACATGCGTGTCGCAGTTGAGCTATGTGTTAGCAGTCCTGTGTGAGAGCAGACGTGTGTCTCAGTTGAGCTATGTGAGCAGGAGAGCTATGTGTTAGCAGTCCTATGTGAGAGCCGACGTGTTGGAGAGCAGACATGTGTGTCGCAGTTGAGCTATGTGTTAGCAGCAGTCCTATGTGAGAGCAGTCCTGTGTGAGAGCAGACATGTGTGTCGCAGTTGAGCTATGTGTTAGCAGACCCTTGTGACAGCAGACCCATTTGAGAGCAGAGCTATGTGTTAGAGAGAAGTTCTTCGCGTCTCTGTCGGCCCCAGTGCCGAATTTGTAACGCCTCTGTATATATGCTGTACATAAACCTTGTTTAACTCACCGTCGTCTCGTCCGCTCGTCTATCAGCTCTGCGCAGAAGCAGTCGCGAGCTGAGAAACCTACGCTACCAAACGGCTGGTGACCTTCCCTGCGGAGTTCGAAGCAGTGGCGCCTTCGGGACCGTGTTGGCGTCACCGTCTTTCGAAACAGTGGTTGCAGCGGTGAGATTTCGAGGCGCCCTTCGTAACGTCGTCGGAGAGGCGACCTTCGCAACAGCGTCTCATGTCGTCGTGATATGCATGTAGTCCCGGTGTGTCACCTGGTCACGGTTCACTAATAGAAACGGCTACGTGCCACAGAAATTTGGCAAATCCACCATGCCCGCCACTACTCCACTAAGGCGACGGTAAGCTCGACAGATAGCTGACGACGTTCCTGCAGCGGGAACATTCTTCTTTATAGACGCCGCAGGGAGTATAAACTGGGCACGTAGAAAAAAAAAGCCAAGGGGCTTTTTTTTTCTACGTGCCCAGTTTGTAGAAAAAAAAAGCCCAAGGAACTAAGCTGAAGAAGCCCCTTTCTTCAGCTTAGCTGAAGAAAGGGGCTTCTTCAGCTTAGCTGAAGAAGCGTGGGATGCAATAACTCTGGTGTGCGACAGGACAGAGCGACGGAACAGAGAGAAAGAGAAGTAATCATAGAGAAAGGAAGAACATGCGACATATTTTTGGCACGAAAAGATAAAGTGAAGGATTCTAGGGCAGAAAAGCAATACGGTGCCTAGGACGAGCGCTAAAAATAAACTATTACGGAAAAGACCACAGACAGTATTGACCCCTTAAGCGCATTCGTGTCGCCCCTGAGTCGCAAAAACAGCATCAAATCAAGAGGACTGCACTTCAGGGAATAAATAGATATTACACTAAGAACAAGGGCACGGAGTGAATTACAGCCACACGTTTATCTATTCATTCTCCAATTAAGTCCTTTCGACTTGATACTCGATTATCGACGCAGCGGCGATATACTATGATGATTCTGCGGTCTTTTCCGAAATAAAGTTGATGTTTAGCGCTCGCCCATTGCACTGCGTTTCTTCTCTTCCCCGAGTTCGTTCCCTTTCTAATTCTGCACCCATGTTTATCGTGATCATCAGCCTGGCTACGCTCACTGCAGAACAAAGGCCTCTTTCATGATCCGCCAATCAACTCGGTCTTGTGCTTTGTGCTGCCATATTATACCTGCGAACTTTTTAATCTCATAAACCAATCTAACTTTGTCTCCTCCCTCGTGTGGTTGCCTTCTCTGAGAATTTAGTCAGTTACCCTTAATGACCAGTGGTTACCCTGCCTACGTGCGTGCCCGGCCCGTGTCTATTTATTCTTCTTGATCTCATCTATGATATGCACCCACTCTGTCCCCATGTTATAGACGACAAACTCGCCTAACATGACGTTTTATACACAGACGATTCTTGGTGAAAACATTTCTTTTATAGTAGCCATGTATCGTATAGGCAATAGTATAGTGTAGTAAAGCAACGAGCGGAAAGAGAGGTGAGAGGGTAGAAGCCTAGCAAAGTACAGGACGTGCTAGAGCCTAGGTGCCTACAAGCTACAGTGTAGCTATGTTGTGGTCACGGTGAAAGAAATACAATTTCTTGCACTATGGATGTGGCCCAGCCTTGCGCAACGTAGTGCAAGTTAATAGGTTCCATAGCTAACAATGATTGATTTGTGGGGTTTAACGTCCCAAAACCACGATATGATTATGAGAGACGCCGTAATGGAGGGCTCCGGAAATTTTGACCACCTGGGGTTCTTTAACGTGCACCCAAATCTGAGCACACGGGCCTACAACATTTCCGCCTCCATCGGAAATGCAGCCGCCGCAGCCGGGATTCGAACCCGCGCCCTGCGGGTCAGCATCCATAGCTAACAAGAGCCTAAGCAAGTCCAAGGCGGGAAAACGGATGCGGGAGAATAGGGTTAGATAATTCGTTAACGCATATACATATACACATGTCGGTGCTGTAAGACATTTGAAAACGTAAAACTCGTACAGTCGCGCGCATTATAAAGGTTATCGCACGAGCGCCGACTCGCCTAGCGACCCGGGGACCTATAGCGGCACGTTTAAGAACTGTGAACATCAACAAGTCGTATTCTTCTGTCCCTCGTTGGCTGTTTCATGCTACAACAACCACCCCTACTACGAACTCTACACACTCTCTCTCTTGAGCCTTCCATTCATTGCGATCAAGTGTATTTTTCGCGGGCTCTTATTTCCTCAAACGATTACAAAATTTATGGGGGAAAAAATGTCTAAGCTGGTGCGTGGCACTGCTTAGTTTAATGAGATTCCCAAAACGGGAGTGATCACAGCTTAAGGAACAGCAAAAAAAAAAAAAAATTGCAGCATATCTACGGAGTGCATGATGAGTTGGGCGAAGCGTCTGTCCGTCCGTTCGTTCTTGCTTCCATCCGTCCGTCTGTGCGTCCATTCGTGGGCCTGTCCCTGCGTTCATCCGTGCGTCCATCCGTGCGTCCATCTATCCATCCATCCATCCATTCATGCGTCCATCCGTCCATCTAGTGAACACTCCAAGTACCGCCATCTCGCATCCTTTTATAATATATTCAGCATATGGAAGTGCCGCCATCCAGCGGATATTCCAAGGACTAACCGAGAGGTGGTACTCGCGCACTTTCTTACGGCTAGCGCTTCGTGTCTACTTCCCACCTTTCACCGCTTCTAGTTCATGGCTATATACTAGTTGACACTGCGGCCCAACCCTCATTAAACCTGGCACTGCGGCCCAACCCTCATTAAACCTTGCTAAAACCAAGGAGGTTACGCCCTCTAGTCCGGCCGTGGAGGTGGCTACCTAGTACTACTACTACTACGACGACGACTACTACTACTACATACATCGGGGACGCACGACCCGTGGCGTAGGGATCTTCGCCCCCAAAAAGTGGGTGAAGCTTGCGTGTACCAATCTCTCCCCGAAAGAGTATTCTGGGATGTGGCGCTGTTGTAGTTCTTGGTCGACACTCGCGCGATACCTTCATACTGCCCGCTACTCCACAGTGCGTGAAGAAGTTGGAATCACGCGCTGAAAGTTCTACCATCGCAGTGGTGAGAAATCGTAGCACAAGTAACTTGCTGAAGTCAACGTTTCTACTGATGTTTCCTGGTAAAGATTCAATGCAAATTATGCGTATTTTGGAGGTTTTAATTATCTTCTGCTTCTGAAAAAACAGCTGGATCTTCTCGTTGAATCGCAATAACTGTAAAAGGGTTTTACATAGTGATGGTGGTGATGATAACTGGAACTTTACGTCTTCAAACCACGATATGATTATGAGAGGCGCCGTAGATCAGGGCTCCGGAGAACGTCGACCACCTGGTACAATACGCGGGCCTTTAGCATTCAGTAAAGTGAAAGTCTGGCCTGTCATGTGTTGTAGCAGAACACGTTTTGAAAGAGAAGGCACAGGAGAAAGAAAAAAAAAGAAAAGAAAGAGGGGATGCTAGTTCTGTAGAAGCTTAATGAAGCGTGTTAGCCGTTGCGGCAAGCACATGGAAGACACAAATGTCACATAAATGCAAGGTGCATGCATGTCGATGCAAAGACCAGTTCGATCTTGCATTTCCCACATTCAGGGGTAGGATCGAAGTCAGTTGCGCAAATGGTTATCGGGCGGGAAGCGCTTCTCAAGCAGTTATTAGGGACTTACGTTTCAAGCTAAAAAAACCAGTTTCGGTCACATCACTCTAAAAAAAATATCGAGTGTTTGGGGAGGTTTATGCTACTCAACATTAATCGTCATTTGACTTACTCGCCTTTCTTTTCTTGAAAAACCGGCGCCGGCCACTTTCCAATCGAGTCCCACTGATAACGCGCGCCGTTCGCGACAGCGAACTACCAGAACGCGAGGAAAGTGCTCAAAGTAGATAGAGGACGATTATTGTAGTGTATAAATGGCGAGAACTCCTTGATGGTGTTCACTGTTTTCTAACTCCTGCCCTCTGGGCCATCCAGTACATGGAATAAATGGTACGTAGCACCAAATTCCTCGCCATTAATCTGTCACCTTGACTCTGTACTGCGGAATAAGCATCCATATCCTGGATTTCTGCCCGGCTAGGGAATGGAACTGAGCGGTATTCTTAGATGCACCTCAGCAGTTATCGGTAACATTTATGATAGGAAACAATACAGTAGGAAACAATAAATTCGGTGGGTGAATCGAGGCTCACTGTTTTCTAACTCCTGCCCTCTGGACCATCCAGTACATGGAATAAATGGTACGTAGCACCAAATTCCTCGCCATTAATCTGTCACCTTGACTCTGTACTGCGGAATAAGCATCCATATCCTGGATTTCTGCCCGGCTAGGGAATGGAACTGAGCGGTATTCTTAGATGCACCTCAGCAGTTATAGGTAACATTTATGATAGGAAACAATACAGTAGGAAACAATAAATTCGGTGGGTGAATCGAGGCTCACTGTTTTCTAACTCCTGCCCTCTGGGCCATCCAGTACAGAATCGTTTAAGCAAAAAAAGCCAGTTTCGGTCATACCACTCTAAAAAAAAATCGAGTATTTGGGGAGTGTTTATGCTACTGAACAATAATCGTCATCTGACTTGCTCGCCTTTCCTTTCTTGAAAACCCGGCGCCGGCCACTTTCCAATCGAGTCCCACTGATAACGCGTGCCGTTCCCAACAGCGAACTACCAGAACGCGAGGAAAGTACTCAAAGTGGATAGAGGACGATTATTGTAGTGTATAAGTGGCGAGAACTCCTAGATGGTGTTCACTGTTTTCTAACTCCTGCCCTCCTGACCATCCAGTACATGGAATAAATGGTAGGTAGCACCAAATTCCTCGCCATTAATCTGTCACCTTAATTCTGTACTGCGGAATAAGCATCCACATCCTGGATTTCTGCCCGGCTAGGGAATGGAACTGAGCGGTATTCTGAGATGCACCTCAGCAGTTATCGGTAACATTTCTGATAGGTCACTACAGTAGGAAACAATGAAATCGGTGGGTGAATCGAGGCTTTAGAGTATCGCAGCAACGAATACATATGTGGTGAAAATCGCCACTTACAAACGGACTCGGCATTTTCTTGTGAGATGCAACGTCGTCTTTATTGCGTGTAGCATGCGTGCGCGCGAGGTAAAGACAGCGCGGAGAAAGAAATGAGAAAAAAAGAAAATCAAAAAGCGAAACACGCAATCAGTGGTCTGTATTCTGAGGTCTTTAGTTTTGGGTAATAGATGTAATAACTACATTGATCAGAGTTGTACCCCTCTTCCTCCTCTCTCTGAAATAAGATCCTTGTTTGTTTGTTTGTTTGTTTGTTTGTTTGTTTGTTTGTTTGTTTGTATCTCTAATCCATGGCTCTTACCCACTCTGGGGGATTGGCAAAGAGAACATATAGTCTCATACGGACGATAACTGCATTATTGCTTACAACGAAAAAAAAGGGGGGTAGTTGTATAGTGAAGACAGTATGCTAAAAAAAAAGAAAGAAACCAAAGATTGAGATAGTGAGAAAAAAGAATCAACAAGAAAGTAGACACTAATAGCTATAACTTGATTTTGGGAGCCGACCAGACAGCTGGTTTTGCCAAACCCGATTAATTTGGTATGTCACGGATTTATCCAGATTTGAAAAATTACTTTTCGACGCGGTTTTTTTTTTTGAGTACCTGTTAACGTGGGCTTTATGTTGAAAAACGTTTAGTCTTGAATAAAATTACACACCACATCGAATGCATCTCTGCGGCAATTTCCCAAAACAGAGGCACCAAAACTTAGAACATTTTCTGTGGTTAAATTTAAACCTCGCTTCGCAAATGATATATCTAAAAGTCGTTTCCTAATTAATGCATAGTTACGACATGAGCCAAAATAATGTTCAATAGTTTCTGATTCTTCGCAGAACGGACAAAGGGGGGAAAGTGTCAGACCAGCTCTGTGTAAATAAAATTTAATGGGGGGACACGGCACCGGAATCTGGAGATTATAATTTCAAGTTTTTTGGACGGACTCCACTGGGCTTTCCATGGAAATTTGAGGTGCTGATAATCTGTCCATTGTGTGATATTTTCTAAACTATCTGTAAAAATAGCGAATTTCCTATATCTAACCCCTGATAAGTATTCTAACTCGGGAAGTACTGAAATTACTGGTCCATCAAGTGATGCTCGTGCCAAAGCATCTGCCAATTCATTTAATTGTAATCCGCAGTGACCTGGGACCCACACTAATTTGAGGAGTTTTAAATGCGGCGGTGCTAATGTGTGGAACGCTGCTAGGGCACGAGATTGTTCAGAGGTTGTCAGAGTTGCACACACCGAAAGTGAGTCTGTTAGGATGATTGCACTGGTCTCGGTCGTAGGAATTTTACGAAGAGCTAAAATAATAGCTACTAGCTCGGCTTCAAATATAGGAGTGAAATCTGGAAGCCTTACTGAAAAATACCAGCCGATGAAATCAGACGCAATTCCTACGCCTGCCTTTTCATTGTTGACAGAAGCATCTGTAGCTATTACATTTTTTGTTTCTGCATGTACCAAGTAATCGTTTAATGTCAAAAATCTAAGAGATTGCAACTTGGCTTGTTGGGGGAAGATTTCATCGTACTCTATTCTAATGTTGAGGGTTGAGGAATTAGTTTCAATTACTGTGCTAATATCTACATTTGTGCAATCCAGTTTCTTTTTAACGAAAATTATCTGAGGGCTATGAAATCGAGGCCAATGTGCAAGAAAGAAAGAGTCAGGGTCGCTGATAAATGCGTACTCTAATCTTCACGCCGGTAAACTGTAAAACTTTAAGAAGGTTTGATCCTTCCCACTGTTCTTCTTCTTCTCATCTTCTCATGGCTCTTACCCAATGCAGGGGATTGGCCGAGTGTTAGAAGATATTTTTATTTCTTCGGATTACTACTCGCATAAGCTAGGAATAGGTTATACAACGAATTCAATTACTGAATAATAATATTTAAATGGTTTAAACTACGAAGAATTTAGCTCGATGTTATTTTAGTCTGACTGATATATTCCACTACGGCGTAGTAAACACTCCTGTGACTGTAGCCCAGAGTAGAGGCGCCGAGTGATAGAACAACTGATTCGGATATTTCTAGACCCAAGTTTCGAAGAGGTGGGGCTATGAATATTCTTCTCAATTACGTATACCGGCGACAGTATAGAAAGTAATGACTGATTGTTTCCTCCTCCTTACAGAAGAGGCACAGAGGAGACACTGTTATTTCCACTGTTATTTCCACTATTACTATTATTTACTCCTTCTTCTTCTCTGTGCTTTTTTTTTTGTGTGTTCTTTGGAAATAGTGATTTGGTTTCATTTGGACACCCCAGAAGAAACACCGAGATCAACACTAAGACACTCTTCTATTTTTTTAATGATGTAGTGCTGTGGAGAATGATTGCGAAGAAAGAACCAGATGTCGATCAAAAAGTTTTCTCTTGTATCAACAAAATCGTTGCGCGTTTCTCTTCGTTTAGCGCCTAATGCAAGGTCTCTTGGCAACTTTGTATCTAAGATGGCGGCTTCCATGGAACTTGTTTTGCGTGGTTTCTGCGCCTGCAAAGAACAAGTCACTTGTCGTTTTTCTTGTATCTAGAATGAAACATACACGCATACATAAATGCTTCATGTCCTTTTGACGGTTTAGAGTCCACTACCGCTTTCAAAGTACCGTTGTATGTCGATTTGTCTTGGTTACGATGAAGCTGAAACATCTCAAGAGCATATTAGATGATGTCGACTCCTTTGATTCCCCAAACGTTCACTTGGAACAGTACCCGACGCCACCGGACATTGCTGGTGCGCTTGCACTTTTTGCTTTCGCGAAATTTGAAAAATTCGTAGGCTCTGCTCATGTCATTTGTTTTAGCACATTTTTGTGGTGCCCTCGGTCGCTGAAGTCGTTTGAAGACTGTTCCATACCGAAATATAACTGAACAGAGCACACCCTTGTCCACTTATGCGCGAATACGCTTGTTATATTTGCACATTTTTCGTTTATACGCAGCGCACATGATGCACCATGTGTACAGCCAAGGGGAAATCGAAGGCAAACTGGTGGCCGATCTTGGTTGCGGAGCAGGGATACTGAGTATAGGTGCTGCCGTATTGAATGCGGGGTGAGTTTTTTTTTTTTTCTTCATAAATATACGTTGTTGAAAAAAAAAAGCAAAACGAAAAGCGTAAGGTTGTAGTATTGCTGTCGTCCAAATGTGGCTTAAGAATAGGTTGTCTCTGTAGAAAAATTGATGCCAAAGTCCAGGTATGTAGCGATGTTTTATTTTTTCTCGAAACAATATTCCTGGCTATGCCACTCCGGTGACCATCTTGTGAATTGATCCCAGCTGCGCTAGATTTTCAGCTGGTCTTCGTTTAAACTTTAATTCTTCACCAAAATAGATGCGACTGTGCATAAATCTTCGTTTCAGGAAAGTTTATGGCAGTGGTACTTGTGCGTGTTTGGGCTGGTTGTTACTCAGTTGAACTGCTATAGTGCGAACTTCGAAGACGACAGACAAGAGAATGTGACGCACACAAGCGCTGCTTAATGTGCTCGCTGACATCAGAATTTCGGAGCCAAGCATGTTTAATATTTTTGTCTGCCCACCACTAATGTTCGTGCATTGACAAGCCTACAAAAGTTGAGTGCACTCTTGTTGAATTGGATGTAAAGCACGCTTTTGTGTTGCGTTTGCTACCAGACTTACAGTGGGATTTGACGTCGATGCTGCTGCCCTGCAAGTGTGCTTGCAAAACTGCACAGACATGGAAATAAGTGCCGTGGACATGGTACAATGGGACCTCACACGGCCGCCCGACGCGCGATGGCGAGGTGCATTTGACACTGTTGTTATGAACCCTCCATTCGGCACGAGGACAAAGGGTAGGTAAAAAGTGGAGAAACCTGATACCTTGTGTCGGATCAAAAACGAACTTTGCATGTTGACAACCGTTCATTAGATTCATGTTTCAATTTATAAGCTTACCTGGGTTTCAAAATTCCACATTAAGTCACAATTTTGTGGTACGAAGGTGATCGTATTGTAGTGTGAACACACATGGTCAAGAAGGACACAGAGGCATACTGTGACACAGGCGCCCTTTCACCACGTCTTCACATGAAGACATGCGTCCAGCTGTGTGCTTGTGTTTGCGTCTTCATGCTACACTTTGACAAGCCCGTATCCAGGTGGGTGTGGGTGCAGGGCCGGGCTTTCCCTGAAATTTAGCTGTGGGGAGGGTGTTACTAAAGACAAATAATAAAAATATATGTTATCCAAGACCTTCAACAAGTGCCCCCCCCCCCCCCCTATCCCTCCAAGAAATAATGCCTGACTATGGGTCTGCTGTGACCATCAGCATGTACAAAGTAGCTCAACTAGAACTCTTCCTCAAAAATTGTGCTTTGCACTTCCATTGCAAACGCATGCAGTCAGCCATTTGTAGAGTGGCTTGTTTGTGTTATTTTTTCATGCATCTTCAAGAAATACAGACTTGGACCATAAAAAGAATGAATTGGGCTGCACTTCCGATTTAATTAATGGGACATGAATGTGATATCCCCAAAACATAATATGCCTTAAGGCTAAGATTGTGGCATAATTTCACCTTACTGTTCATATCAATCCGTAGCGGTTGTCTTAATTTTATTTCCCAATGGTTTCCACCGGTGGACTGGTCCTCATCTGGGCTTACGAACAAAGTCGACGCTATGCAAACATCACAAATTGACATTGTGGTTGAAGAAAGGAAAAGAGAGAGCAAAAAATCACTGATCTTGCACAGTGGTGAACGTATAATGTGCCAAACAGTTTTACTAGACTCATTTGCTGGAGTAAGCAAGAAAGAGAACGTGTAAAAGAGACCCTGTTGGAGTGGGGCAGGTGCCGTACATTTGGGTGAAAAATAAAGAACTGAGACAAAAACAAGCAAATTGAAAGTAAAAAATATAAAAAAAGAAAAAGAAAGGGGGAATAGAGTGGCTTCCGCAACGCGCCTTTGAATGTCGCGGAGAGACATTGTTCGTGTGCTTGGCTGGCAGGCAACTACTTGCAGCGAAAGGTGCATCCCTGGCCGAGTCAGCCCCCAATCCGGCGCTTTCTGCGGCACTTGACGAGAAAAAGGAGAAAAGGTGCTTCGTTGCCGCCCACACATTCCATATGTGTGGGGGCAGATTTGGGGCAAAGAAGGTGCATGCGCACAAGGCCATTTGAGAAGTACAGTTCAACACTCGGGCTAGCAGACACATGTTGCCAAAATTATGGCACTCGTGCATGTATCCTGCCCTTGTATTACCGCTCCCCGAGGTACCTGTGGTAGAACGGCTGGTGCTGAGTAGGCTCTCAAAAAATAATAAAACAAATAAATTAAACAAGAATGGTAAAAATATAAAGAGAGGTAAAATGTGAGAATAAGGACGAATAATAACCAAACAAAATGAAATAGAGCACATAGTGCAAAAGATATCTTTTACACTATGTGACCTATTTCAATATGCTTGGTTATTATTCATTTCATTCTCTTATTTCACTTTGCTAATATTTTTGCTGTTGTGATATCTTTCACACTATATGACCTATTTCATTATGTTTGGTTTTACTTCAATACATTGAAGCAGTACAATGAACGCCCCTTATACTTCCTTGGCTTCATTATCTGGTAATTTTCATTACGCATTGAGCAAGCTATCGCTCAGGCCGACCTCTCTGCCTTTCTGTAAATAAACCTATCTCTATTCATTAGGCATTCTTCTTGTGTTTTATCCATATTGCCCCAATGAAGTTTTATGAAACTGGGCATGCCAAGTCTCTGGCTTCCTTTCACCGCCACGGTGGTATAGTGGCTAAGGTACTCGGCTGCTCACCCTCAGGTCATGGTTTCGAATCCCAGCTGTGGCGGCTGCATTTTCGATTGAGGTGAAAATGCTGTCGGCCTGTGGGCTCATATTTCGGTGCACGTTAAAGAATCCCTGAAGGTCAAAATTTCCGGAGCTCTCCACTATGGTGTCTCTCGCAATCATATGGTGGTTTTGGGGATGTTAAACCCCACATATCACATATCTCTGGCTTCATATAAGACAACGTTCTTCATTTAAGTTGATTAGAAACCAAGTAGGCTTTAGTAGATGTCGTGAAATTCCATTACATTACGGCAACTGGTGCGGGAACATCAAGTTGGCATCGTCACCTGGGCTTTCCTTTTTCACCTTTTTCTGCTTACCAAGCATCTTCTCCCTGAAAGTATTGTGTTTTTGGTATCCTGAAAAAGTGATTTACTTGTACGACTCAAATTATATTCCTCTTTTGTGTCCCTTTAAAAGTGTTAACTTGTTCAAATTCAAGTACTAAAGAAGGCACAATATAGTATTTTCATTAGTAAAGTTAATGTATAGTAGCATGCCAGTATACACCTAATACCTAATGTAAAAAGCCATTTTTGCAGGTCTCGACGTGGTTTTTTTGAAAGTCGCACTCTTCATGTCATCAGGTTCTGTGTACAGTTTGCATAAGACTTCAACAAGAGAGGTGAGTCCAGGTTTACCTTATATTGTAGTAAGCTAGGTTATGCCCCATGTCAGCAGGTTTCAAATGGGAAAATTTCAGCTTAAATTACACTATCAGTGCCAGTCTGATTTATGGGGCTTAATCATCCCTGCTCAGTATTATGTACTTACGCATGTGTGCAATGTCAGTTCATACAGACTTGAGAAAATTCATTTAAGTGATCTAATAACTATTCGACCTATGCTTGACTTTTGAGATAACTGTGGTAATATATAATAAATTGAGAGTTCTTAGTAGTCAACATTTTTAAAGTGCACATAACAATCGCACTGTTTTATTGTATGAAGAAAACAGAGCTTTCTGCAGTAGTGTTTCTATTCTTTTTATTATGAATGTTTTTGCTGCTCCTCAAATTAATACCATTATGTGCTAACAATTTTACATGGAAGATGTACTGTAGTGATGTGAACAAATATCCAGTTATGTAAAGTGCAACCTGTGGCATTGTTATGATAGTGCTGTCTTGCACTGTATGTGTCACTATGCAAGCTTCACTTTTAAAAACAATACCTGTGATCCTTGTACCTGAGTGATCCAAGGTGCTTGAAGACTACTTTGTCTATGTTTCACTCCAATTGCTTTGTCTGAACATAAACTTGGTTTGTAGCGATGTCTCGTTTACCGTCATTGTTATTAAAGATTCAGCATTATTCTTATAAAATGCATCGGCTTCTGGTACACTCTTGTTAAGGACTTAAATTTCGAGCTATTTTTGTTGTGACACTCAATATGAATGCAAAGGGGGTGAGTACAGCAGAATCGGTGTGTTGCTTTGTGCACTGATTGTATTGGCTCTGCTTCACATCAGGGAGGTGATTGTTGTCACATTTTAGTGCATTTTTTTATGAAATAAAAAGGTGTCTCAGTATAAATATGTCAAATTGAAGCTTTTGAAAACTCTGAAACTGAAATTTAACTGCAGTTTCTTTTTTAGTGCTAATGTGCAGTCGGCTCTTAAACAAGTGTTTTCAAGATGCCTCCTTTGGTGTAACAAGGGTTCAGCTTCTCTGTAGCACGCTGTTAATAACAAAAGAATTGATTTGAAAGACTGTGGAGAATTTTCTTGACAGATTACCTTAGGTAGCCTGCCCATCCCATTAGGCTAACTAAATCTTGATGGATTGTAGGTTTTTCACTTAGGCCCGTATTGACAAACACTCTTGGAATCGAAACTCGACCTCAAGGAATCCTTGAGGGCTGATTCGCATTGCAGAAACCTACCTCTACTTGAAATGACCCTCAAATGGAGGGATCCCCAGTGTGCCCACACTTTGAGTTCACCATTTTTCTGATGAACCTGCAAACGAGGCTGAAGCAATGAATTATGTGACCGGGAATCGTTCAAGCAAACGTCTGAATCCTTTGGAAGAATGTAGTGACGCGGAATTGAAGAGCTTGTTACATCTACTGATGTGCGCAGCAGAGCCTTTTTATTAGAACTATTTCGCTAGCTTCTCCATACGCATGATCAGTTTTAATTAGCACTACATAAGAACACATGTCCAGCTGCTCTGACGCATGAAAAGTTGGTTTACACGTATGAACTACCATATTCACTTACGTGTCGCATGAATGTTCCTCCTTGCTTGCGAGTCCTTTTTTACATAATTCTGTCATCTGCTTTTCTGTTCGTGCATAATGTTTCGTTGTAAGTTATAGTAGTCAGCACACACTTCTCTCCATGCATTGTTCTTTGCTTCCACATCACGGCAATTTGTGCGACGGCTTTCAACCATTCACACGTAATTTTGAACTAGTAATATTAGGAGCTCCTGCTCTTTCTCTGAGTAAACAAAGTGCACGGACAGCTCCTAGTTAGCGGTGCTTTTTCACTTTCTTTCATAGCAATAATGATCCTAAACACAATAGATAGACAATAAATGAGTCCCAATATAAAGAATGAACAGCTTGATCGGGTGCGGTGTGCACCAACAAACCGTCTGTTGTATTGTCTGGTGTACACAAGGGCCTTTGCACAGCGTCGAGCTCACACGAAAGGGCTAGTTAAAATAAACTTTTGTATTTATAATAACTGCTTTGAGTAAATTTAGGCTGTCCTCTTTTTTGGGGGGGGAGGGGGTAAAGCTAAGATAATTGAACTGGAGATGCACTACGGCTCACTTACAGACGGCGCTCGCAGAGGAATGCGCTCGTCTGCAACATTTCTTTTGTCCGCAAAGCATTCGTTCCATTATAACGTTTTGTATGCGATGGTATCCATGCCTTGAAAGACAGGTTGAGCGGGTCAAAGTAAGACTCGGCTATTGTGGTCTTCTCTTTCACACCCTTTTATACCTCTCTGCCACCTGACAGTGGAATATTTCTGTGTGAGAACTAAAAACAAGAGCACTGTACGTGTGTCCTCTGTTCACAGAGTAGTCGTTTCAGGCTAGCTATTACTGATCACACTGCCTACATAATAATATGCCGGATGCACGTATGCGTGTTGTAATCTTCGTTGCGTGTATAGAAGTAATGTCGAAACCTGCTACCGCTCGGTCACATAATAGCTTGTTATCTTGTCAGACACAAGGTCAGGACGTATGTCGCCACAGCACACAGTGAACATTTCCTCCGCTGTGTTACTAAAAACAAAACAAAAAACACATAGTTTATAATGGAAAATAAAAAGAAATGTTCTCGTTTAGATGCTGCAGGGCATGTTTTACACAGTATACTTTTACATAGTCTCTTTCCTGTATGTCACTCAAATACTTTGGAGTGGAGGACGCCTCTGTGAGAAGGGCTGCATGTGAAAGAAAATGTTGAGGGACATTTTTTAATGCCATTTTCCCCTCGAGTTGAGGAGAAGCACTTCCCTCGACTCCACGAATTCGAGGTGGAGAGCCGATTCAAGGAGCGTTTGTGAATACAGGCCTTGGTATGTATTTAATTGGAATAAGGTTTAACTACAGAATGTGTGAAAGTGTATCCCTAAAGCAGATAGTTTTCTGTGTGCTTTGAAAAAACACAGCCTGAAGGCCATTTCTGTTCAACAAGTAGATGTCACACTGCCCTTGCACATTCTCCCCTTACATGTTACCTTCTCACTGTTATAAGCTTATGTTTTTCGTGGTATATGAATCGCTTCTATCGAATTTGATAGTGCAACCTCTTACTTAATACTTGCCTAAACATTGATGTCACTGTATTTCACCCTCAATCCCAGGAATGTAAGCTAGTTGGGTGTAACTTTCTGTTTATTTTTCAGCATATTAAGAAGAAATCTGATGAATGGGGTGTCAACTGCAGAGTTGTGGCAGAGCTTCGCTATAACATTGACCGACTGTACACATTTCACAAGCGGGACTCAGCGGATGTTGCCGTTGACTTTGTCCATTTCTCACCACGCAAAGTCCCAGGGAGCCCATAGATCACCACATATCTGGTTAGCACTTATGTGGCCACTGTTATATGCAAGTGATACCATTGTTACACAGGCACGCTAACCTCAGTTACGACGAATCTCACTTAACGTTGCTATTTTTAATCACAAAATTGAGTGTCACGTAACTTTGCTTCACCCGAAAAGTCATCCTTAGTTTGGGTCATGAAGCAAGTCATGTGACACCCAGTTTCGTGTTTGAAAATGTAAATGCTAATTGAGGTTCATTGTAAGTGGGGTTAGCGTGTCAGTGCAACAGGGGTATAACACCTTTCATAGTTGAAGATGTAAAAACAGTTTATTTGGAAATTTTTACAAACATGGGGTCATGATTCCAAATTGCATATGTACAAAAGCGAGCCATGCATATGAAGAACTTGTGGACATGAGTCATATCTATGTAGGCAAGTTCTACTCATTACAAAACAACTCACAAATCACAATATATAACACATTTGACAATAGGGTTCCTGTAAGTATGCTTTATCACTTTTCAGTTTGCAAAGCATAGTATTAGTATATGTGCAGTTTCTTGCTTTGAGCTTCACTTATCGGAAGGATTATAAGATATCTAAATGTCATTTCAATGCTCTTGAGCTCTGATATTTGTTTAGAACAATTAGGAAAGAAACAACAGTGCACAACACAAGACCAACTTTTTTCCTAGTGACCAGTGAAAAAGGCTCTTTGCAGCAGTCACGTAACACTGACAGCATATATTAGCTTTGTTACTGAGAAAACTCATCTCACCCTAATAAATGAAAAACAAATATTACATATAGAAACATGTTTTCAACCGTTTGCTACTGCATTACAGAAAGCAGGTAAAGTACAGTCGAACCCCTTTATAAGAGACACTAATGTAAGAGACAAATGGGTATAAGAGGACGCCAGTGTGCCTACAGTAAAATACGGGTTGATAAGAAAATGCCTACATGGTGCCCTGCTTAAAAGAGACATCTCATATAAAAGACAGAAATTGCTGCCTAGAGCATGCCTCTGATAAAGGGGTTTAACTGTAATTCAAGTAGTGAAGATGTTCAAGAGTTTTTGAAATTGTGACATCAGTAATATTTGTACTTTGTTGTATGAATTCATGACATTTTTGTGAATAAGTGCTCAGTAATGTGACCAAGTAAATGCAGATGCAAGATATAAAAACAATCTATCTGCATGACACATTATCAGGTCAATTTGTGTATAGTCACATGTATTTGATGGCCAGTTCGACATTCCTTAATGGGCTCGAGGTCTCGTATGTAAAATGTTAATTGAGGTACACTTCACAACATGCTGCTACACCATCTGATGACCTTTCTGGTTTGTACTTCTCGTATGGTTATTGCCTAGTGCTGACAGTCGATTTTATATGTATACTACATATAACATAAGTGCAATGTCCAATTAATATTGAACATGTTGTTCCAATTCTGTAGCAGCTTACTATATGGTGCCTGTCTATTGAAAACAGTGGACACTTCACGGGTGTATTTGTATAAAAGAAGCGCATATTGGCAGAGACATGATGCCAGTTTTTAGCACTTGCTATCAATATGTACAACATCCTGTTAATAAATGAAACACAAGTTGGCAGAGTTTTCAAAGCTAAAAGTAATTCCATTAGTTTTCTGACCTATGTAATACTGTTTTTTTACTACAAGAAAGCATTTACTAGTTGAATTATTCATTTTTTCTGCTAACTTAAGTGGAGTTTGCAATCAAATGCATTTTTTATGGCTTGTAATGTAAGCGTAAAGACACAGGTGGCTATTTACAAAGGCATGTATACACAGTAAACACAAAACATGCTAAAGATCTAGTGTTTACAGTGACAATAATGGGAAAAACATAGTAAAAAAATGTTGTGATTGCTGGCCTTTAATTATGAAAAATATGAAATGAACTGCAAGGTTGTCATGGCACTATGAAGAAATACCGTCTAAAAAGCCAGCAAGAACGACTTGTAAAGCGATGAAAAATTACCCGTCTCCTTGTGTTCTTTAGCACACTGAGATCGTCAGTGTGCAGAACTTATTCAGTCTCTGCTTCCTTCCTATCCCATTAGTGATTAAAGGGAACGCATGTTTCTCATTCCTCAGCAGTGGTGTAAAGCCACATATTGATTGCAGTAGTTGCCTAGATCAGTCGTTCCAACTTCATGCTATTTCATGCCGGTAAAATTGCCCTGAATGCAATGTCTAGCTGCATTTTATATTTTCACTGGCACTATATTTTTTTGCGTTACGGTTAACTTTCGTATCTGACAGCACAACCATGATGCCTTCATGGTTTCGTATAATCTTAAATTCATTGAACTGACTTCGGGTGTAGGGCCTCAATAATGACAATGACTGAGAGGATGCCATGTCATTTGCTTGTTTCTTTACAGCCAAGTATTTTGTCAGGTTTGGACTAGCAATGGGTGGACTGATGACTCATTTTATGCGATAAAACACTGCACATTGCAATAATGCGTGCTAAAATGAGAAAGAGCATTCCTTCAACTTCTGGCATACCATGATTATAATAGTAACAGAATGAAGATATTTTTAATGAAGCAAAATGTTATTCCTATGTGATTAATGAAAATGTGTTCTCAATCTAGAATCATTTTGTGAAGATTCACTATGCAGGGCTTTTTGAAATATTATAAAACTTATGTGATTTGGCCTTACTTTTGCAACTTAACAGCATTAGCAGTTAAAGGAGGCTCTAAAACAGCTCATGTGAATTATCCAAAGCAGTAATGCAGTAAAAGTAATTCATGGAAACCATGCGTTTCAAGGAAAAATTCTTCTTTGAAGCGGATCTATTCACTGCAGAAGACATGGCCAATAGCTATGAGCAGTTTCATAAAAGACAAGGGCAGCACTGATCTCTGGATAACATATGTTTTTTTATTGCATTGGAAAACTATTGTGAAGTATACTGAAGCCAGTGATATGATATCACTGGCTTCAGTATAGAGGCTATGATATCCGGCTCTTCAAACTAGCCTCCCAATGGATAACAGTTATCGGTGCGGGGCTCGGTTGTTTTCTTGTGCTACAGCCGGAGCTCTAAGTGAGAGTGCTTAGTCATGGCAGGGTGTCATGGCATTTGGCTTCAAGCTTTTACGGTTGTTCAATGAGACATTCAAGGACCGATGCCTGCAAGAAGTATTCCCCCGGGCATCACAAGTCCTTGTGCATAGGACTTGTCCCATGAGGGTCATCGAAAGAGGCTTGCAAATTTTTGATAAGCCCATCTGCGTGGGCACGGGCTGTGCACTCCTTAGTCACATAAGAAGGAGGGGGCACTAAGTCAGCCCTATATAGTATTGACTTAATAATGCTATGCACGGTTTGTTATTTCCACCTTTGTTTGATTTGGTTTTCGCCCACAGAGCTTGGGTCAGGAATGCTCAATGCAAACTGCGCGTTACTGTTCGAGAACATTCGCGATCATTGTAGATCGTTCTGCTCGCCCGCTAGAAAGGAACACTCGAGATTATTCCAGAGGCTTGTGCGAAGACCAGTGATAAGGCTGGAATATTCAATGACACATGTATAAGTGCCGCCGTGCTTAGCCGCTTGTCAGTTTATTGCTGGCCGACGCTCTGTTCACCGCCATCAGTGCCCGTGTGTTGCTGTAGTATGACCTTCAGTTTCCTGCCCACAAGTTCGACCGAATGAACAGTTTTCATCTGAACATCGAGTGTGCTCTTTTCGACTACGTCACAACCGCGTGACAATAGGAAGGGGAGTGCTGTGATGATCCGTTGTCCCCCCCCCCTCTCCTGAAGTGGGAAACTGTGCGTGACTATGGATAAACCGGCATTGGTAAACTTGATGCATGCACAGGAACAAGAAATGGCTTTCATGGTTTTGAAGCCATTGGCCTACATAAGGCGTTTTTCAGCGAACTGCAGCACGAACTCACGCATATCCAGAGATCAGTGGTAATTGCCCAAATAATGCTATCACAACTATACAAGCCCATCACCGTCGGACAGAGCACCTACAGTCGCTGGCCACCAAGTTTTTGATAGTGGTCGTCATGATGCTGTCTTCATTTAGGTATGTCAAGTTGAGAGGAACGGTACTTTGCCTGGTTGCAGCTGGATACCTGCAAAGTAACAATACGATTGGAACAAAAACGAAATTAGTTTGCTTTGGTACATGATTGTCATGATTGTAAGCAAAGGCACTTTCCCATTATCTCTGTTGAGCAGTGGTTATGAAAACTAATTGCATTGAGGGATGCACACAGAAGATCCCCATTATAGTTGTGATAAAAATTTGGAAATCAATCTATCCAAAACTTTTTCGAGCATGCCAGGAACATCAAAATTCACCCTGTACTTGGTGCTGCTAGAAGGTGTGCGGCCTGAGATTGAGTGAGGCACTGTGTTCACCAGAAATGTCAATTCGTGAACAATGGGCACACATCAGTGTGATATCGTGTTCCTCAATTGTGGCGTCGTGCACTTGTATCAGCAAGGTGATGGAAACTGTGGGTGACCTTGTAGCATTTTTTACTGGCTCGTGTTATTCATTTGTCTTCTGTGGGCTGCTATCTCTCGCGCTGTTTAAAACGTGTTTTTACAACAATAGGCAATTTTATAGACACTTCCTGTGGATTTTCACCGTCGGCGTCGTCGTGAGGTTATACAAAGTCCGAGGGCGTGAACAGCGCTTAGCGAGTCGTATGCGCGAGTGACAGCGTGTGAGGGTCGCCGATGATGTTGGTTCGAGCGTAGAGGAAACGCGCCAGCCAGTCGCACCAAAAGAGGTCCTATATTGGAGTGAGGGACGCTGCGTGACTCCGACAGGAACTGCGCACTTCTATCCGCCAGGCTGTGGTTGCGCTCACACTATCTTGAGAGGGATCAGCTGACGGCTCGTGCTGTGTTCGACATGATGTGTTCCGAACGCTCACTTGCGGCGAAGCGATAAACAGCACGAAGATGTCCTGCGCTCGCCGCAGCAGCCATATTTTCTTGCGCCATCGTTTCGCTGAGTTACAGCAGGTCGGATTATACAGTAGTAGACTGCTAACTTAACTTCCCATAACATAGCAATTTATTAGACTGCGAAGTAGCTCTACGACTAACGTGTGTAACGCCGTACGAAGCTACGTGCGTCCGTATGAATGCGCCGCGACGTGTTCCTCTCAGTCGCAGGTGTTGGAGCGGTGCCACGTAGGTCACACTGCAGCTGCGCGTTACGTGACGCTCCCCTCACACTCAACACGCTCGCCGCGCCGTCCGCAGCTGCCGGCTCCTCCGCCCTCTTGCAACACACTTCTCCCTCACTTCATCCTTTCCACCGCCCGCAATGCTCGACCGCAAATCGAGTCGAAACACTGACTTGGCTCGTTTATCTGCGATGAAACTTACGCGAAACGTAACCCGCCTCTCGTGTATGCGTGTGTAAACGCTACACAGAGTTTCGCTTCAAGCACCCGCGTCGACGCCCGTTCCAACCGGGTCAACACCGTGCGCACCGCTGCTGCTTCGCATCCCGCCAGGGTTTTGATCCCGTGGCCTTCGAGTCGGAAGTGTGGCGCCATAACCGCTAGGCCACCGTGGTGGGTTGCGTCCACGTATACGGTAGCCGGATGCAACTTAAAGGGACCTTAAAGGGGCACTGGCACAAAATTTCGTGGCTGGGATAGCCCGCGATATCGATTCTCGTGGACATGCGTATATCATCTGCAAAATATAAACAGCGAATATAGCTTGGAAAGTATTTGAGTTTGATGACATTATGGTCCCGTTTCTTGTTCGAAAAACATTCTTGATGTAAACCGCGCGCAAGTGCGTCGCAGTTACGTTGTGCTTCCATGGTCGAGCATTGCACCCGCTAGGTGGTGATAGTCGCACTCAGTGGTTTGTCGTTTTTCAGACCCAAACTGATACTGGTCGGTAATACCGAGCCTGTAATCAATTATCTGTCGCACGCTGCAGGAAACGATGTGTCGTGTTATGATTAACAGGCCCCAGGAACACACTGCAGCTGAAAAACGCTAGGCCATGATTTTTGTTTCAGTACCTCTTCAAAGTAAAACAGAGTACAGCAAATTAGTTTACGTAATACAATACATACACAATAAATTAGTTTAGGCTAATAAATTATGCTCTGAGAATATCAGTGTCTTTAATTTCACTCCCTCAGCTTCATTAATAATTGAGAAAATTAACGTCAGAACTGCCACTTTTACGTTTAGCGCCTAAATCTTTGATGGTTACGTCACTTACTTTAGTTTTTTTTTATATTTTGGTGGCAGTGGTTGTTTCAACGAAATTTTCTTAAAGGTGGGATTGAACCAACTTGGAAAAACTGAAGAAACTACGAAATTCTACTGGGCCGATAAACACAGTTAATTTCCCGTATTTCAGAACACTTGGCTGTATTGCTGCATTGTCAGCGCCCATTGGCTGCGCGCGACTTGTGACGTCACAATCGGTGAGGCACATGCAGGGTGCTCGTGTTCCTGTCCTCTTTTTTTTTTTCCGTCTCTCCTCCCATCCCACTCTCCTCATTCTACTAAAGCACTGATGCACGCTCATCCCGACTCTACCTCAAACAAGTGGAAGAGGTCCCTCAGAAGTTCACTTCTCGTTGACCAGCAATCCAGCAAGCCCAAGAAGAGGCCGCCAGGTATTCCCTGTCGGTACATAGCGATTCTGGGAACCAGGGTAGAGGGAAGTTTAGCGGGTCGAGAGACGCGGGCGATGGCTGGCACTGTTGGCGTGCTCAGTTTTGGGCGTTTGTGACGTCATCAAACGTCACCTCCTCAGCACTGCCGCCAGACACGACAGTTTGTGAAAAAATGCATTAAATTCATCATTTTTCTGTAGTTTATGCCTAGAATGAAGGTTTTCTCTATCCATTTCAGTACCCAGTCTTTCAATTTGGTTGAAAAGCGTGGCGGCAAAAGTTTTGTTTACTATCCCTTTATCTTTGTACGCCAAGTCTCTCTCAAAAGCAGTGTCATTCATTTTTACTGATTAGGAGATATGCGACGTCTAGTAGAGTCGTAAAAGGCCATGACGACTGGCGAGGGAACCTTAAAGTGGCGTTACCACCCACATTTCGCGCGTTAATTTAATAATAATTAAGAGTAATTTACTACTGCGATAAAAATGATTTTCTTTTTAGGGTTTAGAAAGCCCGGAGACACCCCGCCCTGATGACCGTAGCGCGGCGGCTGATCGCCTCCGCGACTAAAGAAATAGTCCCTGTCATCTACTCAGCACTGTTCTCCGAAGGCAAAGCCACCGGCAGTCCAGTTCATGACGTCAGACTGGAGTGTGTTACCATTGGTGCAGGCTTGTGTGCATCCTCCTTTTGAGGAGGAAGTGCTGCAGACTTCTATGACTATAACAACGTTGTGTTGTACCTAGGAGATATTGGCATATAACAGAGTTGCAAGTGACGTCATCTGCTTCGGGCGCTAGCGGCTTCCGCCGCCATCTTTGTGGTACGTAGTTAGGGTCGCTAGAATGGTGGCGCATATTTTCTCTAATGTGGCGTTTTGTCGGTTCTGTTGAAACGACGAGAGGCTGTGTGTGACAGTGTACATGACGCTGCAGTGGGTATACGGACAGAATGCGATTGTGCTTACGCAGAGACCACCAAGATGGATGCACTATGGATGCACTGCCGTTCCGGCGTTGGCGCCATCTTGGGGGCCCCGCCCCTTTACAACCCTTGAGGGGAGGGCATGGTCGGAGTTCGCCCTATGTCCTCTATGGTTTAAAGGCCAACTGCGGTGATTTTTTTAGGGTAATGGATTTGAATGAAGTTCGCTGGGCACGTTACTTTGCCTATTTCCGTCATTTATGCCAAATTACAGGCTTGAGAGATGCGCTGATTGTTTGTAAATACATTCTAAAGATTGCCTCGAAAAGCTCACCTCGCTTGCCAGAATATTGGCAACACTGTCTGTGGAACGTCATGTGTGACATGTCAACGGAAGTGACGCAGCCGATGGCATCGCTACTTTGACCGCTACAGCGTTTTTGTGCAGGTTACTGACGGTGGCAGTGTTTGGAATGGGTATAGCACGGGAAAGCTTCCTTCCTCTGTGGTGTTTGGCCGGCGCTTCGCTGGTGTGGCTTTCACAGTTTTCATACTCCGCGCCAGTGGGACCAGTATAGGTACCGCACACTGACCAGAGGGAGCTGCGTTGATAACACTGACCCGTCTCAAAGTCTTTGACATTCGCTGTTAGGAGCACGCAGAAAATAAACGCTTCCGCTCGTCCTTCGGGTATCCCGGCCACAATTCGCCGACAGATGCAGGGCGCGAACCGCGCGCGTCGCGTTCCATTTTTCAGCGACGCCGTATCAAGGTTGCTTTTTTTTATCCGCTGGGCTATGTATTCTGGCACTGCAGTCAGACTGGAAAACTCGACTGAACGATGCCTATACGGCCTGTGGTTCTTACCAAATAGTACGTCATACGCAGACAGGGCGCCCGCTTGGGTTCCGGTCCCTATAGTGCGCTCTTCAGCCGCTAAGTGCTCACTTATTAATATGTTTCAACACACACGCGCGTGCGTGCGCAAGCGCGATGTATTTATTAATGCATTGACTGGGCAGTGTGGCCACTTCCCTCTGCTAGAACGGTGCTCTGCTGTAGTCGAGACACGTTTTTCACAATGTCTCACAGAAGGCACACACACACACACACACACACACACACACACACAACACACACACACACACACCCACACACACACACACACCACACACACACACACACACACACACACACACACACACACACACACACACACACACACACACACACACACACACACACACACACTTGCGCGCGCGCAAATGGTACATACAGGTTTTTTTTAATCTAAAGCAAGAGTTGCATGGCCTCCAAGATACACGCTGCGCTCTCGCCATCTTGGAGGTCATAAAGAGTCTCACAATGCCTCACAGATGACAGCACATTATCTAATAGTGTTTGCTTCATCAACGCCTCTGGAAAGGCGTTGATGGATATGTTCTCATCTAGCGGGATATGTTCTCCGCTAGATGGACATAGTTGTCCATGACAGTAGATAAAGCGCGAGAACAGAACGACGACAAAGGGACGAGAAGGAGACGATTCTTGTCCTTTTGTCGTCGTTCTGTTCTCGCGCTATGTCTACCGTCGTGTCATACCAACTAGCCCAAACCTCCACACTTCATAGTTGTCAATTTTTAGAGCTGTTCGAAAGTTCCTGTGTGTTTTTAGCAGCGATGGCTGCACTTTCCCGGCCCTTTTCGATGTCGTTTGATGGCCTCCCAAATGCTTTTGTAAATCACCGAATGGGCTCGTTTTCGTCCTGACAGCTGCCGAACAAAATGCGTTAAGGAGACTCCTTCCATTACATGGCATTTATGTAGTGTTCTTTTTTTTTTTTTCCAAAACAGCTGCAAGTAACATCGTGGCTATGTGGTAGGACACCTGCTTGCCAAGCGAACGGTCCGAGTTCAATCCTTAAAGGACCGAAAATTTTATTCTGTATTTTACTTGCTTCTTTCTCAATTTTTTTGCTCACGAACGATTTTTTGCTGACAACCGACGGCGAAATTTCTGCGACACGAGCTCTCTAACGCTATTGCGCTAAAATTATTTTTGAATCTCCTGAGCATTTCAGCCATTGGGCTCGTGACAAGAGTGTCTCAGGAACATATAAACACTATTACCTTGACATGGTCGAAAAATCGCAAGAGTTGGCCTTTAAGGCCGGTGGTAAAGGTGTACGCAGTAGTAAAGAATGTGCTCGCGTGTACATTTTTCTCTTGGGCAAGGTTTTTAACATTTCTTCAGCTACCATCGGTGGCTTAAACCACACTCAAGAAGCAAACGCGCCCTGACGCAATTGGCTGGTTTTTCGCAATGCTTACCGCAAATAATTTTTTCGCGCATGCCAGCGTTTCCATGTCACTAATAGTACCTAATGTTGTTGCTGGTTAGTAGTCATAGTTTCATGTATATTTTAAGGTACACATGAAAGGCAGTTAGTGTGCGCACTGACTATTACAAACATCGTTTCTTCTGTAATATATATATTGTGTGATGCTTTTTTGTCACTTCTTTGTACTGATTCTGTGGAGCTAGCCTGACTGCTACCGTTTCCGACTCTGAAAAATGGGTCCTTCTGCGCCTGGTATACAAATATTGTGGCACCTAGAGCCAACACTGTTGACAGTGGACTGGTAACTTTGTTGTCTGCGGATAATTCAGCTTCTGTTACCTGCTGGACCTGATCACTCGACACGTAGGTCGCGTTTTCTTCGTATCGACGACTTTGTTGTGCAGTGTCCTCTGCGTTTGCCGTCCCTGTCGCGGTTACCGCAGGGCAACGTCGCGCCGTGTAACACAATAGTGTGCAGCGCTAGGGGAGGCGTCGCCGCGTCGCGACAACGTGGTGCATCGGCCTCGTTACGCGTCGCAGCTGTGTTGCAAGGCCAATGCGCTCTCGTCGCGTGCGCCACATCGCCGGCGTTCGCTTACCGCTCTGACGCATGGGCGCCTGCTTCCTTTTCCGCGGCGTCTGCGCCCGCCGTGACAGTGACACGTGCCGTGGCAGTACGAGTAGGTGAAGCCCTCCGGGTACAGCACGTTGTCCAGGCCCAAATCTGCGTGCACCGCACGTGCGTGGTCAGTAACGACGCCGGACACTTGTAGGCGAACGTGTATACGCGCTTGATTATGTATGAACAACGTGCTCACAGAATACAATGATCCGAGGAAAACCAGAATTGATACAGGCACCAAGTCACAACAGCATGCCCAATCGCTCGGATGACTAGGTTACGAATTCGGGCTGTCCAGGAGGCCCGCCATGCGGCGGAGAACTCCGGGCTCCCTGTCCCGACGTGGGATATACCCTCTGCACCGGACGTCTAGCCGAGTGACCTTCAGGACCCCTTTTTTGGGCAATAAAGTTGCACCACCACCACCAAATTACAAATAAGACAGGCAAAATATGAAAATAGTCAACTTATGCCGTGTTCTGAAGTGCATAGGTGAGTGCCAGAGCCCCACTTGTTTTTGTTTTTACATTCACCGCCGATAACTACGTTGTCCGAAACAGTGAGGATGCACCGTGCACGCGTCAAGCCACACACTTTATACGTGCCTCTCCCTTACTGTTCTTTCTGTATATCTGATTTACGTAAGATAGTGGACCACATGCGCATCTAGTTGACGTACTATTCTATCCACCCTTCAATCAGCTCAGCTCACTGAGCGGCCATGCAAGTAAGGTTACAGAGGTGGGAGACGACAGTTGCAGCCCTTTTATAAATGTTGAGTATCTGGGCTTGGTGGTGCAGCATCGCAACCCACCAGCACGCGGTCGCATCATACCACCGTTATCGCTCAGTCTGGTGCTGCAGCTCCACTCAAGGTCACTTATTTTCCCTTATCTGCGACACCTATTTCACCCTATAGCCGACACTCTCCACGTCGTACTATCTGCCAGACCCCGTGTGTTGTCTTTCCCTGCAGTTTATGGAGCTGGCCCGAGCGTCTGGCGGTCATGTCCATTCCTAGCCATTCGATTTGCTAGTGGGTGGCTGACATGTGGTGGCTAAACTATATTGTACTAGAGATGTGAAGTTGCTTTCAACCATCCATCAGTTGTTCCGTGTTTCCGGTACCCGGATTTGGACCCTTATTGAGTGCCGACGTATCTCACTAAACTCAGAAAGGGCCCCATTTGTAACGATTATGTATACTCTCTTTTTCTCTTCGAAACACTTTGACAGGGAAAGATTTAAAACATTCAATGAGTTCAGATAATCTAAAGTGCTGGTCTCAGTGGCAGGATAGACATGCTTTTTTACCGATGTACACGATCGCCTTTCATCGAACTGCGACCTCGTGCCTCACCTGCAAACGTGACATCAATCTGACGAGGCGTGCATGCGCTGTGCGTCCTGTAGTCGCCGTCAACCAGTCGTCGCGTCTTGGACCTTGCGCCGGCGTCGTCGGTGGGGTCTGCAGCAGCAGCCAGTGAAATGTCGACATAGCTTCATAACTAGGTGAGTACACCTTCAGATATTGAAGAATTAATTTCATGTTAGTAATTCAAAGTGCCTACTGCGAGTTGGAAACTATACAGAATCGGATTTATATTTTTGCATCATCGCTCTTCGTGATCATGTTACGCAGGGATGTGTTCCAAAAGAACAGTAGTTCTAGGGAACACTGAAGCCTGATAAGATGAAAAAAAAAACTGGGAACAATGGGTAGCGTTGAAGTCAACGTTTGGACTAGCCGACTTGTCTTCGAAGCTGCAACTGGTGCCAGCTTGGGGCACGCCTACGTTTGACGTGCGACGGTTGGTAGTCGGAGCCTTGAAGAAGACATGTCCCTTCGAAAGGTAACGCGCTAGTGAACACGGACCAAAGGAAAGCACACTGTCACACAGGACGGCTTTCTTCTTTAGTCCGTCTTCAGTAGTGGCTACCCTTCCAGGAATGAATAGCCATGTGCCAGCTCTCCCAGGAAACATCACTCGAAAGACACTATTAATGAGAACAGACAGTAATGCCAGAGAAAGTATAGGGGGATGTTATTCGAAGTAACTGTGATGTCTGCATTATTGTCGGTTAGTTCTCATTAATATTGTGTCTAGCAAAGAAAAACGAAGAATACTAGCTCCTAAGTATACACTTTCCTTCACTCTAAAGACAGCTACGCTTGTCGAAACGAGGGCGCTAGCTAAAACCCGTGTTCACGGACTTTTTTTTTTTTATTATATGGATGTTGACAGTACTAGAGCTATGAGGAACGTAAGTACCCGTTTGGTCTGCATGCGCTCAAGCAAGAATATCGCATTTTTCTGAGGTAATGTGGATACTCTTAGAACTTATTTTTATATGAGGCGGACCTCTGGCCTTGGAAGGGGAGTTCGTATATATAGATAGCTTGCATCAGTGAAGCCGCCATACTCAAGCAGCATTGTGGTGGCATGCAGCTTCCGTGATGTCACATAAAGAATAGACGGGGGTAAGTTTAAGGGTTTTGCTTTTTTTTTGCTCGACACAACATTAACGAGAGCTGACAGACAAGAAAGCCAAGCGAAGGATAGCGAATGTTATTTATAGTATATGTAATGCTATTTATAGTAATTATGAGTAACTAAGTGTAAACGTAAACATACCGGTGGAAAGTTATATTTTCATCTGCTCTACTTCTTTCACGTTTACGTCATAATTGCCACAAAAAGCATCTCCTACACTTTTCCTTGGCTTTCTTGTTTGTAATAACTATTAACGTGAAGGATAGTAATACATGGTGCACGGGCTCTGTTATTCTGACACAGATGTTTGTGGGAATCGAGGCTAGCCCGCCCGCCGCCTTTGCGCGGGTTTTGTCGCCTCTTTCTGCCGTTCTCATGTCTTGACACGACTCTCTCCTCTGCGATCTGCCGCGCTGGGAGAGCGGGGAGTGACGTTTAACCCATCTCACTCGGTAGCGAATGTCGACTGTGGCGCCGTGCGCGGAGTCTCTCGGGACGTTTCGCGCGCGCTCGTTGGGAGTGAGTCACATCACAGAACACCTCTCCGGGACGACTGAGGGTGAGCACGCATCTCTGTTCCGTCCGTCGACGCCTATTGTTGGGGCTCGTCGGACTTCGCCAACGGCGCTTCGCGCCCGCAGCGAACGCTCACCTTTTGTTGCCCCTTGCGAACGCTAGGCTGAAGAGCGGTGCGGTGTCCTAGTGCGTGGTCAAACTGCGCCGAACCGTATCTCTCCGAAGCCAACGCGAGCACCTTTGCCCTCGCTCGAGCAAACGAGCCTTTTGTCCCGGTGTCACCGTGAATCACTTTTGCCCACGGAGACGTGCTCGCGGGTCGCGGCACCCCTGTGTAGTACTTCTCGCCCGTGGCGTGAATAAGCCTATTTGCTTTCCCGCCGCGCCTTTGCAACGGCTCTGTACCGCGCTTTGGTGTTACCGCAGACAATAAAATGTTGCGACCTTGAGAAGTACCATGTTCTCGCCACGGCGGCGGTTGACGCGTGCCCTGCAGCTCGCTGAGGCCGCACCCACACTAGTGGCCGTACTCCTTCGGGATACGTGTACACTACACGTTTTAACCGCGTCATGATGACATCTAGGTAACTTAGCCGCTACAATTATTGTGCTGGGTTGACTAGCGTTATCCTGCAGACGTCATGTTGAAGCTTCTGAACGTCAAAATGACGAGGCGATGTGCCCGCAACAGATAACTTAACTGCCTTGTGAGAACTGTCAGTGGAGATCATTTTTGTATAGTATTTCCGGAAACACTGCCTTAGGGCTAATTGTTCTTTTTTCTATGGGAAGTCTGCCCATTTTCTTTATTACCATAGTTGTGCCCAGTGGGCAATATGCGGAAACAACGTAGCTGCGGTTCTCCCTTCCATGTTTCTCATATGATTTTCCATGATCACTGCACGGCTGCCGCTTCCTCCGCGACCTAGAGTTACTGTATATGCTGTGGCATATACACTAAAGCTATCGCGACTTAAAGCTTCTTAAGGGCCTTTATCGCAAGCGAGGCAGTTACGCCATCTTGTAGTGCATCATGGAATCTGAGCATGACGTGTAAACACACATTTGTCGTCAGGATCAGCCTTAAAACAGCGCCGCTTTGGAAACCTGAAGTGAGGCTGTTAGTTCAAACGAAGCGCTCACATCAACCGACCTGGCGGCGTGGTCTTCCCCGACGAACTGCGGTGAGTCGCTTCCCGGTCCCACGGCTCCGGAGTCGTGGAGAAGCACCTCGACGACTTGCAGGTCGAGCGTGGGGTACGTCTCGTTGTCCAGTAGGGACGACTCGTTGTCCCGCAGTCCCGGATGCAGGCGCATGATGTTTGGGAACGGGGACTCCTGCTGGCCCGCTGCGAGCGACCGCAAACCAAATGTCAACAAGCGATCGTGTTGTCGTGTCGATTTCAAGGACAAAAGGCATGGGATTGAGAAGTACGTAAGTCCGAGCTTCGAGCCGCTCGCCCGAACCTAGCACACTCGTACAGAAGGGCAGTAATTAACGACACTATAGACCTTTTCGCAGACTGCTTCCCGGGTGCCGTTCTAGTCCTGCCTTGGCTGTGACAGGTAGGAGTGACCCCCTCCCCCTTCCAAATGCACTGCGGGGGCTGTGACATCAGCCTTTGTAGAGTGGAGTATACGCTCTACTCTATAGAGAAGAGCTTTGTATCCGTGGTACTCTCGTGCCCCAGATAAACATGGCGATGGTTTTTTTTTTCTAATCGCCGGCTCACGTAATTTTACTCGGCGTACAGCAAGTGCAAGTGTCAAACGAAAACTATACAAAAAAGGACCACCAAAGACAGAAAAAAAAACAGAGAGTACGACGAAAAGAGAAAGAAATAGAGTGAAAAGTGGGAAGAAACATATTCAAAAATAGAGATGTAAGAAAAGAGAGAAAAAAAAGAAGGGGAAACATATACAAAAATACAGATGTAAAAGGAAAGAGAGATAGAGAAAGGGGAGAATCAAGGAAGGCCATTCCAGCCGCGCTATTCCTTCATTCAGTTTAGGCTTGGCCCCATTCGTGCGAAGCTGCCATATTTTTTTTCTTAACCGTCCCATTAAACTGCAGCATTGGTCACCCCCGTGGGTATACGTACCTTCCGTCTGAGCACAACTCATGTTGCGGAAGTAGCGGCCGGGCAGCAGCTTCTTCCCGCGAGCGTCCACCACCTCGATGTCGAGACCGTAGTTCTTGTTTCGCAGCCGGTGCCATCGGCTCACGGCCGACTTCACGTTGAACTCCTCCCAGCCCCGTCGTCCGCTGGAGAGCGTCCGTCTGGCGATCAATTCTTTCTTCTCTGTGAGCCACCACCGAAAAAAAAAAAAATAATGATCTCACACAGTTGCCGGTATGTTTTATCAGTAGTATCGTTACGAACAAATAAAAACAATTGTCGCACGAGACGAAGTTCTATAAAGTTGGCCTCGGGACCTGTCAGTGCAGCTCAAGAAAATGTTAACCCTGTAGAAGCGTCGCAATTCGGACCTAGCTGGTATACATTCATGTCAACAGCACACAAAGGATGGAACCATTGCAAGAGAAACGCTCGTTCTGTACCCTCTTTTGCTTTCTCCTGTCTTTTCGTGCGCTGTTAAAATGTTAACATTACACCAGCGTGCTTGTAGTGCTTGCGCTAATGTTCTGAAACCTCGACCTCGCTCGCTGGATTTCGTGCCGACCGGTTGCGCCCCGCGATCTACGACGACAGCGCAGCTCTGGCCGACTGGGCTCGCCCTACGCCATCTCCTGACGCCGACAAGAGCTCTCGCCGAGTGCTGCCCCGTCCTCGGATTCGTGCGACCGTGTCCATCTTTCCTATCTTCTCCTTATTTCCGTATGTGCCTGTCCCTGTCCCTCTCTCTATCTCAATACCTTTTAATCCTCCCTATCCTTTAATGCCTCCTTACCCCCATCCTTCATGAGTAACTGTTGAGGTGTCCTCCCCCTGAGAGACAGTTACAGGGCTCACTTTTCTCTTCTTTTCATTTAAAATCACCCCCTCCCCCTGAAACTCGGCTATCTATGAAAAAAGTATACAATCTTATATATGTATATATATTTCGCATGCAAGAAATAACCTCGTCGCTTGGATAATCAAGCCAGTGTGCTTTGATTTCAACGTGGCTGCGTAGTTCATGTTAAAGGTGCATGCTTTTTTTTCTTTTTGATAGGCTGTGCTCTAGGGTGTGCTGAATCGAAGCTGTTCCAGTGGTTAATCAGGTGACGGCAAGTGGTAGCAGCAAAATACGAAAAATAAGGCATCGCATCTGACGTCATTACTCTTGTTACGTCACAGAAATGTGCTAATTATGCTGACGCTGCATTTGACAGATAAGGTGAACCATATTCGACTATAGAGATTAAATTTTTTTAACTTCCTTGTATACGACCAAGAGCTCTGTCGCACAACACAAATGTGATGCAGAAAGCGGCTTTGTAGAAGAAGTGTTTCTTTGTCAAGCCGCCGTTGCGGTTTTTATACGGCCGCCAGGTTGGTTCGCCATGTGGAGTTGGTTCCTTAGATCGTACTCAATGTTGCGCATTCATGCGACAAGGCTTGCACATACATTACTTAAACCCCCATGTTTGAGTGCTAACACGGAGGAAGGCGAGATCTGCGATGTGACGTTAATGTTACCAGTACATCGCATGCAGGTTTTTTCGTTATTCAAGCACCGAGGCCATTTATGTTCCGGCGGTGCAGTTATTACATTGATTCGGGCTATCCACCACGAGATAATACTGCTTTCACTTGTCGGGTAAGCGTGGTCGAAGTAATAACTATCCTCATAAACAAAGCCGCTGTTTTGGAGCCGCAGTAAGTTGAGAACCTGTGTCCATGATGTCAGGTGCCACCAATCAATAGCTTTCTACCTGATTTATTATCATTTTTCGTTCTGACCCGCAGGTTGCGGGATTGAATCCAGGCTGCAGTGGACGCATTTTCGATGAAGGCGAAAATGCTAGAGGGCCGTGTACACACTCTTTGAATAACCCCAGGTCGAAATTTTCTGAGTCCTCCACTACATCCTCTCTTATTACCATATCCTGGTTTCAGGACGCTATAGTAACTCCAACAAATAAAATTATTAATTATTTCCTTGTTGGTTGCTAATTCTCCTCCCTCCCCTTCTCTCTTACACGTACCCTGACTGACACGTTCTCTGACTGTTACGTACCCTGACTGTTACCGCACAGTAGGAACATGCGTGCCGAGAAGCAAAATGGAAAGATAAGAAAAAAAGAAAATGGTGCTTGTCACACAACACGATTATGTCCGCAGTTTACAGTACGCTGCGCTAAAGGTGACTAAAAGAGAGAGCAGTTTCTAACGCAACCAGACCTGCCAAGGAGGTCCAGTGGCTATAGTGTTCGACTGCTGACCAGAAGGTCGCTGGATCGAATCCCAGCCGGGGCGACCGCATTTCGATGGTGGGGAACGCTAGAGGATCGTGTGCTTGTATTTAAGTGCACGTTAAAGAACCCTAACCCGGTGGTCGGAATTTGTAGAGCTCACCACTGCGATATCTATCACGGTCGTTTCGTGGTTTCCGGAACACCCGTATTCAAAAACGCTGCTCGACTTGATCTTGAGTTGCCACCGACTTGAATGCAGCACAAACGCGCTTCGAACTCTCTGTCTTTAGGCGGTGCCACGGCAGCACAAACACATGGACTCGTTGCGAACGCGCTGCATTAAAGGCGGTTTCAAGTCAAGTTCAAGTCAAGTGGCGTCTCTGAATACGGGGGTACCGCAATTGCATCGAACGTCTGCCAGGGCAAACGGAGAGAGTGTTTTCCTTTTTGCCGGTTGTCACGTTCGGAGGAATCGTTCGGGGCAGTTCAATTTCTTCCACGTGCCTAATAATGAAACGACAGCGCTACACATTCTATGTATCAGTGCTTTATGGGGGTGACGCTCCTTGGCACCTAGTCTTGTCTTATGTTGGTGTAACGGTATAGAAATAACGGTTGGTTTAGTCGAAACATATGCGAGACAAAAAAAAATGTATTACTGTGTACTTCGACTCACACACAAGATAATTACAGCATAAAAATCACTGTTCCCGGCGAAAATAACCTATCGAGAAAAGTATTGATAAGTTATCTCTACTAAATTGTCCCTATATGTTGATGCTTTACAAGGAAACCTGTAACTCAAAGGCACATGTCGAGCACAATGTGTCCCAATCAATTACCCTATTTTAAAGGGGTAACTTGCCACCGGTGAGTTCGGAGATTCACTTTCGAGGCGTATCCTCCATTAAATCTTCCTTGCATCGCCTAAGACGACTGAAATAGATTTACTTTCTATGCCACTGAACCTACATGATAGGGGGCAACTCTCGGGGTAACGTACATAGGTTTACTCAGCGATATAAGATACCCAGAGCTTCGCCCACTCGTCGTGATTCACTTCGTCGAGATGCCTGGATGTTTTTACAGCAGAGCTCGCCCCGCCGCGGTGGCCTATTGGGTAAGGAACTCGGCTGCTGACCCGCAGGTCGTGCGATCGAATCCCGGCTGCAGCGGCTACATTTCCGATGGAGGCGGAAGTGTTGTAGGCTCGTGTGCTCATATATGGATATACGCTAAAGAACTCCAGGTGGTCGAAATTACCGGAGCCCTCCACTAGGGCGTCTCTCATAATCATATGGTGGTTTTGGGACGTTCAACCCCACAAATCAATCAATTATATATAGGTCGAGGTGTGCCATGTGTCGTAGGTAGAAGATTACCGTCATCACGAACCAGCACGCATCCTGTTACCGCCCAAGTATTCGGTACAGGTAGTTAACAATAGAAGCTAAAACGTGCGAACCCTAGTGGTTGTGTACCTGTAAGGTGATAGTGGGATTTGTGTAATTCTTCTGGCACATATGTGATGCAGGAGAGAGCAAGCCCACCCATGCATTGCATAAGGGATGACAGGACAGATGCCCAACATCTCTGCTGTGACCCAGCCTTGCGAAACTCGGTGCAAGCTGCGCTAGTGTTCTTTTTTACCAAGGACATTGCTTTTTGACACATCGTCTCGCCATGCGCCTGAGAGAATTTACGCCGACGGAACGCTTCAAGGCCAAAGTCGCGTGCGTTTTCAATGGCACAGCCGCTCTTCTCACCGGGTCTTCCCGACTTGAGGGGCCTGAGAAACTGGAACACGAACACTGTGACTGGAGCTGCCGGCGCATCGAGCAGATTCTGCGCGGCCGCCGTGCCGCTGGCACCACCGGCGATCGCAGCGCCGGTGCGGTACAAGCGCAGCTTGGCCGACACCAGCGACACCTCGGTGCCCGGAGACGAGCGGCGAAAGCTGACGTCGTAGTGCAGCCGAAAGTGGCCCGGCACGTCCCACGCCGAGGGGTCCGTCTGATTGGGAGTCGAACCTGCACCGAGAGGTCAACGTTAGACGCCAAACGTGCTGATATGTTTGCAGGGAGCAAGTTCGACAAGAGATGGCATATAATTAACAAAACCGCTAGTTCCTTAACTTTGCTTAGCAAAAGTTAAAAGTGAACTAAATAAAATTACGCTTTGTTTTCCGTTAAGTGGAACGGCGTGGTTCCCTTCTGAATGTCGGTGTGTATGGGATAACACTATAAACAACGACGAAAAGAGATGGACATGTTTTTTTTTTTTTTTCGAGTGGAGGTGCTTGTTGCTTGATTTTTTGAATGTTTCATAATTGAACATAGTTCGCAGATCTTCTTTTCTAAGTTGTTTCATACCTCGTTTATTACTTGGGCTAGATACGTCGTGTGGTTTATGAAAATGTAGTGAAGTTCATACCTGGCGATAATCTGTTTAAAAAAAACACTTTTTGTGTTTTGCATAATTTAAGCCAATTGAAATATGTACTTGATCCCACAAACTGTTATAGACTTGTTTTTTTTTTTCAATCTCGTAAGGCTACATATTAAGTGTCACTAACCGCTCTAAACCAAGGTTTTCCTGCTCCAAGAGCAGCTGCCAGTTCAATTTCAGCCGTGTCACCCCCAGAGCATGCAGAAGGTGGATGAATGACGAAGTAGGTTCTCACAAGACGGGTAAAAACTCTGTATGCGCTCCGAGTAGACGGTGCGTGCCGTGGTGATGTCCTGGACGCTGGGCGGAGGACTGCGCACGATCTCTTCGACCAGGCGCAGGGTGCTGTTGTTGAGCGGCGCGCTGAGGGACCCATTGGCCGGCGGGTTGCGGATGCCCAGCCGGTGCAGGATCTGAGCCCGGATCAGCATCAACTGCTGCTGCTTCTTCCTGCTTGGGGAGGGCGGAATGGCCACCCACAGTGGCTCCAGTTACTACTGCACGCAACTACGCTGATCGCATATCACAGAAGGTACACTCGCGTTCAATATGAATGGGAACACAGTGCCTGCGGTGGTGAATCGCTGCCGGGCGGAGTCGACACACCAGAAATCACGAGGAATCGGGGAAACAACGTTGTTGCGTGCACCGTTATTTTGTAAACCAATGCAACGTTTGCCGTTGTCAATGCGAACGCATGAGTCGTGTTAGACCGCGGGCCCCGTGTTGTCCCTTGCATTGAACTTGACTGCACATCTCGATATCAAGCGTCAACTATTTGGTTGTGTGTGTGTGTGTGTGTGTGTGTGTGTGTGTGTGTGTGTGTGTGTGTGTGTGTGTGTGTGTGTGTGTGTGTAATCTATGTAAACAGTTTAATTATCATTATAGAAAATAATGAACTTCGTATACTTGCTGGTTACACTACAAAAATGCGCTTCCGTTACTTGTGGCTTCACAGACTTGCAAATATAATGCGCACATGACCTTTTTAGATTTTTGTCGTAGTTTGGCTTCCCCGATTGGTAAATAGTTACACTAGATAAAATTTTCACGGCTTCAAAGAAAGAAAAAAGAAGGGAAAAAGAAAGTAAGAAAAAGAAAGAAAGAGAAAGAAAGAAAGAGAGAGAGAGCCCTTGCGGTGCGGCCGCTGCCACTGCGCATGCGTCGTAACTCGAGTCGGCGTTCGCGCTTGCGGCCCGCCCGCAGGAATTCCGAAATAGCGTGCGGCCCGCAAACCGCTGTGTGTAGCTTCCGTGCATTTGGGTTAGCTGTGAAAGCTATAGTCCCCAGACTTTTCCCTAGGGGGAGCAAACGCTATTCTAAAACTCATATGGCGCCCGCAACTAAAGCAACGACCGCAACGCTTGCGCACGTTATTCTAAAACACCCTAATACGTCGCAGAGTCCATGGAGGGGATATCGCGTGAATGTTGCGTAATTGGGTATGGCTTAGGAAAGCTTAATTGTTATTTCGTCTTTATTATTCTTGTTTATTGAATGGAGGAGAGGTGTTGCCTTCATCGCTGATGTTGGGTGGTGCCCCACTACTTGTTGAAGGTACTGTTGCTTCCATCGCATCTAGTCGAGTCAAGCAAAGCGTCAAGTCAAGCGAAAGCCAAGTAAAAACGCCCTTGACTGAATTCCCAACGCGTGATTCAGTGCCAGTGAACGGATGTGCAGCGCGAGCAGTCGGTTTTTTGCTAGCAGCTATAGATCATATTCTAGTTCACTACACTGGCAGCTACGTTACCATCCGCTGACCAGAGGGAGCTGCGTTGCTGGCACTAGTAGGGAGCCTACATGAACGGCCGTTTTTAGGGTGATGTCAGCCTTTGACTAGAGTGTACTAGAATTTTTGAGTGGCGCGACCGAAACGCTTTTCCCTTGCTTTCTCCATCCCCAACTTGTGGCGAAAGTAGCGGCGGCGCTGCCATCGCCCAATCTTCCCACTTGGTTTACTCGGCTGGCTCGGCGGCATGGCCGGCATCTCGGTTTTAGTCGCGAAATAACGAAGAAGTAGCGTATAAACGATTGTTACGCGCCAGGTTGCACAACTGGATATCCACGTGTGCAACAAAGTCGGAAGTTATCACTTTTTAAGGCCCCGAAAGACGAAGAACGAGGACTTCTTAGGGAGCGAAACCTCCATCGGCTTGACAAGCCGCTTGACGCCGATTGTGCTGTGTGCGAGTTACATTTCAAACCGCATTTCATTGTGAGAGACTACGTACATGTTATCAATGGTGTTCAAGTCCGAATTCCTAGGGGAGCGCCGACACTCGCCCCTGATGCAGTCCCGACGATCTTGCCCAACCTGCCTGCATATTTTACGCTCAAAACTCCGGCTCCGCGGACCCAAACAAAGCGGAGTCATCAGTGTGGGCCGGCTGAGAATGACAACAGAAAACAGCGACGCATTAGCACTCTTGCACAGCTTTTTGTGGATACCAACGGTGCAACTTCTTCAGATGGCGACGAAGCTGACGAGGCAAGCTCAAGTCCCTCGTCTGACGTGGTTGTCACTCTCGGTGACCTTCGTGGTCTTGTCCTACCATCAAAGTCATGGGCGCTGCACGAGTTTTCTGGATTTGATGGCGTGTCGTACGTAGCGGGCTCACTGAATCCTAGCACTCGTGAACTTTGCATTCAACGAGCCGCATACTTCACCTGTGCAGACAATGGAATCGTGCAATGTGAAGCGTTCGAGCAAGAGAAACTAATCAGCAAGTCCAGTTTAGTAACTGTTCGAGAAGCCTCAGATGCTCTGCAGCTTGTTGCAAGCGTCCCACTCTGTTGTAGCGCAGCAGAAACTTCATTTTTGCCACCATCGAACCTTACCCACGGTCTACACGCGCAAATGAAGTCAAGATGAGAAATCTTCTACAGTGTCAAAAGCGCACAGAAAGCACCTAAAATTGAGTAGGCTATAAATTGCTACAGTGGCGTAAAAAGGATGTCATTTTTCGTGCATATTTTCTTACACTCTTAATTTTTTGACGGTACACCAAGAAGAAAAACAATTTTTCCTAGAAGTGGCTTGTAAGCGAGAGAACGTGCAAATAATGACACGAAATCACAAAATAAATCTTTGATCTTGAATCTTTTTGTATTAAACCTGTGATGGTAAATTTAGCAGCATTAGGTATCTCGGTGCATAATTCATCGATCTAAGCCAATTCATTGTTGCACTTCAGTGTCCCTCCAAACGATCTTTCGACCATAACATCTTTTTTTTAAAATGCATTTTGGAAAGACAACCTTAACTCTGTCCTTCTGTTTGCTTTGCTTTATGTTATCTTTTGTATCCTGGCTCTATATATTACGTTTTTTACAATTTACCTGATTGCAAATGTATTGTTTTATAAATATGTAAACCTTGCATTTTTATGTTATCAATTATGATTAACATTAGTTACGACTCTGCTTTGCAGTGTTGTTGCGTTTTTTAAACTCTCAAAATCTTCCACTACTATGTTTCACCTAAGACATTCTTTTGCAGTATTACGTATTTGCATTTCTGTGGGTCCTACAACAATGAATCTATTCCCATATTTAAAACCAAAGGGATGTTTGGAAAAACTCTGCTGTTCTTCAAATATTATCAATAAAGCCTACTTTTTGTCGTGTGTGCACGCAGCCACAAGCAATGAGCCTTTTATTTGAGTCCAGCTTTGGTGTTTTACGTGGAATGGACCAAGAGTTCTTCGTTTTGTGTGCACCATATTCCTTTTTTTTTTTGGGGGGGGGGGGGGGGCGCTTCCGGTGTGTACCGGCCAGCTGGTTTCTCGTCTAAAATGTGTACACTTTAAAAATTAAAAAAAAAACGCGCTCGTTATATTGTACAATGTGCTATGCTGCTTCGGGCTGCAGTGCGGGCCTCAGCAACTTCAATAACAATAATGTCAAATAACCTTTATTTGCGCGAAAAAGGGGAGGTATGTGAATAAGAAAAAAAAAGAGGGAGATCATCTTCACACTAGGCGCGACAGAGAGGTACCAACACGTACGCGGAACGCCTGCCAGCCATCCGCCCGGGTAGATTGGTCGACGCCAGCGCCACCGCATCATTCCACGCCGAAACGACCGCTCCCAGGCAGCTGCTCGCGCCACTCAAAAGCTTCTAGTACACTCTACTTTGACCCACTACATGCCGCCAACGCACCGCCGCCCGCCAAAACACAATGTTGCCAGACAGCAACGCCGCGCTGTCGCCCCATCTTGGTGCCCGCACTGCGTCTACGCCCGGTTGCGTTTAGTTCTCAATAATACGGCGTCGAACGTTGTGGTAGCGTGTTAAACGCTGCCGGTGAAGCCTTAGAATGCCTGGATGCTGCGTACCACTTTGCACTAACCACAACAGAAAGGGGGTGCGAATGTTCCGCTTCCCAGCGAGCCCTGGCCGACGACAACTATGGCTGGCTCAAGTGAAGCGAGACGGCTGGGAGCCCACCAGTGCGTCTCGTATTTGCTCTGTGAGTACTGCGTATTTCGTTCACTGTTTTTTCCTGCGGCACACGTATATGTGTTTCGCGGTGTTCGCGAATGAGTAGATAACCGAAGTTGTCGTTGCTGCGTCCACGCATTGCGTCCGCGCGTTCGTACGGAGACGCGCTCGCTAGTCTGAGCTGTTGCCACGCTTGCGTTCGTGTCAGCGTAACCTCAGTATTATGTCGCAAGAGTTTGTGTGTGGGCTGCGAATTTCTTCGTGCGCTCACTTTGAGAACTGGGTCTCTTACACGCTCTGAGAACCGCCGCTATCAAAAGCCCAGGTGTTGTGTGTTGTTACAAGGGCTGGGCACCGACGCCGTACGTAGGTATACATGCTCGGTCGCCTCCCTACAATAATGCTGAATAGTCCAGCTGAATTAAATTCTAGCTGTTTGTCGCAAATGCATCTGCAGTCAGATGACGTCCCACGGTCGGCTCCTTTTTGTTGCGCCGTACTTCGCGTAGCTGGAGGGAGCGGCGGCTGGCTCCAAAATGGCGGCGCACAGAAAACTAAGCTGCATTTGGTGGAAGCTGGCAACAGCGTGCCCCGTTGCCCACTGGTTTTGGCTGAGTTTCTTGAAGGCACTTATTAAGATGTCTCCACCCTAAAAACGGCCGTTCATGTAGGCTCCCTAGGCACTAGCCCATTCTGAGATCGCTGACGTTGGCCGTTAGAGGCACGGCGCACGCGTCTCCGTGTATCTCTTCTGCAAACCGCCCACTCGCGCGGGCAGGGAGACGCGGGCTTCGTGTTCCATTTTGACTGAACCCAACCTATTATTGCGTTGTTTCTCCGCTAGGCATTATACGTTTTGGCGCTGCGTTAACACTGTAAAATAGGAAACCTTCTTGTGCGCGCGGTTACGCGCACACGAAGGCTTCCTTAAGGATGCCGCCGACGCAGCATCCTTAAGGTCCCTAGATGAAACTTGTTTCGTCTAGGGACCTTATCTTCAGCATGGTGC